TTGAAAATTGTATCACAAGCGTTTCATAACCAAACGCAATGACATTTTCAATGCAGCTACTGCATATAAGCATTAAGCGAGTGGGAAACCCCTAATAAATGAGTTCGCCACTGAAAATAAACTTATTACCGAGGACGTATTTGCACCATTCACGGAAGGCTTGACCGATGAAACCTTCATAGTTCTTGTTGCTCCTTCTAACTCGAAGAAGAAACCAAGTTTTTACCGCCTTGTCTACTTTGATGGAATGCTGAATACTTGGCATCCGATTTTACGGTACATGGTTGCATTTGTCCCCTCCACCTGAATGACCGATCCACTGAGAAGAAACTGTACCAGGTTACCCAACTTGAAAACAGTCACGTTTCCAAATTTTGGGTCAGCAGCTACGGTTTGACCAGAGTGCGAGCAAGTGCGTTTAATGGACAGCGATAAAACTGATCCGGAAAATGCTGTTACAGGCGAGTGTGCACACACGTCAATACAAGTACCAAATGGTCAGCGGAACCATTTCGATCTAATATGAACAAGCCATAACTCACCTCTTGAACAACGACCGACAAATTACGCTGAAATTCCCCCAATCTTAGTTGAATTCGACGGCGAAGACCGGGCATACTGTTTAGCTGAGTGTAAAGGCGTCGCGCTTGACCGCGTAGTTGGTCCAGTTTGAGGGGGAGCCTTGCCAAAGAATCAATCTGAGGTTGAATTGCATCCTAAAAACAATTGAGTGGTTCACGGAATCAGTAGGACAGAACATATGCGAGTGCAACAAAATAGAAAAAAGTTGGTTTTAACAGTTAATGTTAATATTTTGAACGAACGACTAGGCCTCAGAATAATTTTTTACCCCTTCCACATTGCTGGACATTTTTTCCCTGTTTCCAGTGTATTCTCGTGAAAACGATGGAAAATTCACCCTTAGCGTGTTTAAGGTTTATTTTGATGTGACTTTCTGACACAAAAAATGAAGTTAGAATCGTCGCATAGATTTACAACACTACTCAAGAAGAGTTTGCACCAAAGCAGAATGTATGTATGTATGCAAATTCGATGCTCGTGCAAAAAGAACAAGAACAGTAACGAGATGGTTGGTGCCATCATGACAAAGAGACAGCGGGGTAAACTGGATAGATGAGAGAGAAAAATGAACAGATACAAGAGCGCATCTGTATGCGACAGGGGCGTCAAATGTCGTAAATGCAACTAGCAATTAGATGAATATAGCATGCACTACTAAGTCAATCCGTTTAGGTTCTGATTCTTTAACACTAGGTAATCGTCTGGTGACCCGTAATCTTGACCTACTTCCACCAAACATAGTAACCACAGAAATTCGATCCAAAAAAACATGCGCAACACACCACATTCATTACTATATACAAAGGTCAAGTGATTGTGTCAGCACGAAACCACAACTACCCGAAATTCCATATGTGGGTTGGTTTTTAGTTGTCTTACCGGCTTTATGGCCTCCGATAGCCTCAGTATGGCCGGGGGCGGGTACCCAGGGTTGTGGCTGGTCACCTTGCCCTTGCACCCTGCGAAATACTCCCATACAACCAGGCGTCTCGAATGGCCTCTGCTGAGGAAGCCCTACTCACTGCCTACTCGTGGTGGAGGTGGTTGCCACCAAACTGAGAGGACGAAAAGCCGACATCCGGGTTGGTAGACCACTGGTAACTCACGTAGGGGAGTTGGCCAAAATCCCTGATTCCAAACCAACCACGAAGAGGCGTACGAACCACACCCACACATTTTCGGTTGTGGCAGTGGTCACCGGCTCAATTGGGCACCTTGGAAGTTTAACCCCGTCCGAAGGGCGTATGATCCAATAAACTGGACACCGGCTCCCAATGGACTGCGGTTTTCACACCGCCCCGCTGCCTTGCGGATCAGGCTTTGGCTAACCGAAGGCTCCGGTTGTGGATTCCTTAAGCAAATGTACCTGCCTTGGCCTGGGCAACCTGGCAGTATTCAGCCCACAAGCCAATCTTTTTTCATAAAGATTGTTGTACCATTTGCTTGGTACACAGCTTTTCTTCAGACAAGTGTGAAATTTAATATCATAATAATACTGGCTTCATGCAATGCTCGGTGCTCGAACACCAATACTCTGCATTGGCCATCATACTGGTTGAAATGGTACAGCATGTGTCTGATTCATCACGACATAACGGTCGAAAAATATATTTAGTAATTGAATAAGGAGATTTGGGGAGTCTATTAAATCAGGCATCCTGAATGACAAGAGAGCAGGCACGCCCAGATAGAACTGCACCAACACAAAAACTTACCACGTTCAGTGAACGTAATTCCGCCACGTAGTGCCCCAGATCTGCTATATAAGTCAAAGGTAGTTCCGCCTAGATAACCCGAAAGGAATTCAAAGAAAAAGGTATATATGAGCGACAGTAAATGGTACAGATTAATCAGAATGAACTGCGTACCTTCGACAGGGAAAAATGAAGCACAGGCATTCATATTCCTGTATGTGGACATACACACGAAATTTTACAAATCACTACACATGGTTTATTTAGGATACCGAAGGGAAAAATGAATCCTCAGCAAGGAGTCTTGTTCAACGGCACAAGTATCAAAATATACGCAAATTAGGCAATGCTGACGATTCACAATAAGGACTAAGACTGGCAGAGGGCTCGATCGTGAGTAAATAGGAGTTGCTTATAGGAATCGGAGGCGAGGTCGAAAACATAACGGTTTCCCACCCTATTGACAGCTTAACTGTAGACAGAAAACCGTCCAAACATAAACCAAGGTGACTTGTTTAGATATGCTGTAATATTTTACAAACAACCAGCGAACATAACTAATCGAAATTCAAAGGCCTTGCGTGAAAGGTCTCTAGAAGCTCCCACACGGGTGCTTCGTTCACGCTCCCGCGTTGAATTTACGACCCACTAGCTTGTGGGTCAGACTTTTGAGCCAAAGGCTCTGGTTAGGGTTTCCAGAGAAAAATCCCTTCATCAGTGTGGGCTACCGCGAAGTATGTCGAACCCTAAAGTATTAAGCACACATTTGGAAAACCCTCCTTCCCATCTGTTTCGTTCTCCATCTAAATCCCAAACGCCTGCTGTTTACACGACCCAACGGATATCACTCAGCGTTTTACCAACAAGTCCAAACAGTCAGAAGTTACAGGATTTTTGAAACCGAAATTCCCATTTCACTTAGCTGCATTCAACGTCCGCACACTATCAGATCGGTCAACAAGCTGCCCTGGATAGAAACCTTGAAACTTTCAATTAAGATGTACGTTGTGTCTCCGAAACACGCATACAAGACCCCACTTCCATTATCTCTCTGCGTTTTCCTGATCGGAACTTTCCGATAGCCTGTCAGTTCAACCACCAGCCAAAGGACACAAGGAACACTGAAAGCAAATCAAGGAAGCTATGAAATTATCAATAAAAGCAACATCGGATCGTCACGCAAGCTCAAAACATAAACGATGGATCTCATCGACCTGGGCTGTCGCGTTGGACGCCCGCAAAACTCTCCCTCCTGATGCCACATATGACACAGCGCGCAAATCCCTTAAACGCCAGCTTATCCAGAGTCTGCGGAATCACCGTGAGAAGTGGTGAGAGAGGTAGAGAAAGCTGCGGTTATTAGTAGAAGTCGCAATCTTTCCCGTCGAATTAAGAATACGAGCCCCCGGAAAATAGGCGTAAGTGAGGTTATTAGGGAATCCGATGGTACGCTGATTCACGATCAGCAACGCCGGCTTGATCGATGGGCTGAACATTTCGAGGCTCAGTTCAACTGGCCCCTATCGACACCTGAACTATCATCCTCCACCTTGACTGGGCAAATACTCTCAGTCGATGCGAGTCCTCCACCTGAAATGGAAGTTTCTCGGGAAATCAGCTACCTCAAAAGGCATAAGGCCTCCGGCCCAGATGAACTGTTCCCATCGGTGTTCAAGGATGAAGCCTCAGCGTTAATCTTAGAGTTGACGAAACTCCTGGGCTCAATATGGGAAAGGGATCAGATTCCAACCGAATGGTATGAATCGGTGGTCATACCGATTTACAAGAAACGTGACAGATCCTATTGTGAAAACCACAGAGGAATTCGTTTAATCAACATTTCTTCTAAACTTCTCGCCGGCATCTTACTCAATCGATTGTCTGACGTACGTGAGCGGTGCACGCGTGAGAACCAAACCGGATTAAACATGGTTGAGGTTGTATCGACCACTTCTTCGCCAAGCTCTGAAGCACCGACCCGTCGTCTCTGTCTTCCTGAATTCGAAAGCGGCTTTT